GCACTACTATCCAAGTCAAATGTCCCTTTATCTAAAATAATCTTATCCTATAACCCCTCATATAGCAATAAAATGTCACATAAACCATAACATTTTACATCTTTTACAACTCATCTTCAAAAAGTTCTCTCTCATAAGCCTTCACAGTGAATAGTTCCAGTTTAAACACGGAATATAATTTGTGATGCAAACTTTTCTGTAACATTTAAAAAGTTGTTTTTACTTTGTAATGTATTTATTTATTTATTTTAGGTGTAATTAAAAATCCATTCAGTCCAACATGTGACTCACCTGCCAGTCTCCATTTAGCGTTACGAACCGCTTCACATCCATAGCGAGCTTTCTGTGAGGGCGTCATGTCCTTAGAATAATACTCAAATTAAAATTTAAAATAAAATTTTTAAAAAATAAGAAAAAATAAATACCAGAGCTAGCTACAAAAATAACTCAAGGACGCTTGTTTGTTCTCTCATGTTTTATGGGGTTTATTCCTCCCTGAGCTGCTGCCGTCTCGCTGTCCTCCACACAGTAACGGAGGCTGCGGACGGCGCGTGTGGTTGCAGCGGTTTCCATGGTTACACGTCAAGTTAAACAACAGACACCAGGAGTAGCGCCAGTAAAAGACTTTTAATTGATATTCTGCTGTGTGTCTGACCAACGTTTTAACTTCCTGTCAAACTTTTTCAACTTTGTTTTGCATTAACAAACTTGCGAGACGTCCGTGAACGATCACAGACACAGTTTTATTTTGAATATTTGGATCTGTTGTACCTTCAGGGCTTGACTGAGAAAACAACATAAAGAAAAAAATGCTTAAACGTTGTAAAAGAAATAATTAATATTCGTAAAAAAATAAAATAAAATAAAATAAATCCAAAGGCTACAAGTGGTATTTATGTACCATTTTTTAATCATTAACATACATTTTTTTTCTTTTTAAATAACAACAAAAATCTATAAAATAAAGATATGTTTTTAAAATTGTGTAATTTTACAGTCAAATCTATAACAAAACAAGTCATTTGTAAAAGTACAGATCCTAATGTGGATATTATTTCCATGTAAATTAATGTTTTTTTCCTGTGACTTTACTTTTTATTGTTTATAATTTAACAAAACAGCAAAAAAAAAAAAAAAAGCAAAATGGCAGTAAATTGCTCAGAAAGTTACAGTAAAGAACTTTAAAATTATTTTTGTTTGTTGTTGTTGTTGGTATTGTTGTTGTTGTTTTGCAAGTTTCCTGGAACAGGGATGTGTTTTGGACAAAGGAGAGACATTTTACAGAAACTATAACTGGTTTTAACCCGGGTTAAAACTAGTTATAGTTTCTGTAAAATGTCTCTGCCTAAGAGTTTACCAGAGCAAGCAAGCAAGTTTATCGACACAGCACCTTATCATACACGGATGTTATTCTTCATGAACTGAAGAAGCCTCTTGGATAGGAGGTGAAACCTTCAAGAACCTAAAAACAGCTTTACTGGCAAAAGTAAAAATAAAACAACAACAACAACAAAAACCCATATAAGACATTTAAAAAGTAAAAAATAAAAAAAGTAAACATGAAAAAAAGAACATATAAAATAAGCAGACTGAAATTAAATTAATTAAATACATTTACAAAACAATCCAGACAAGTTGAGTCATTTTCACACAAATGTGATAGAATATTTAAAAGTGACTGACTGATAAGACACATGTAAAAGATAAAGTATGGTTAGGAAAATTCTTTAGTGGAGTTCTAACTGGTCCAAATCAGCACACACAGTCATCTCTCAAGTCAAAACAAAGTTTTACTTGCAGCAAGGAGCCAACATGTACAGGACAGAGTCTGAACAAGTGACTGACTAAAAACATGAAGCATTGCTTCTTACATACAGACAGTGAAGAGAAAACAGAAAACAACCTCCTGCAAAAGGATGAGAACAGGCACAGTTCTCATCTGTTCAGACATCTGGAAATTGTACCCAAGGATGAACCAGACTTGTTGAGGTCCATAGTTCTCTTCCTGTTATCTTGGCTGATTTCATTAGATTTTCTCATGTTGTCACAAAAGGAAGCAGTGTGTTTGAGGTGTGCCTTAAATTACATCCACAGGTGTGCCTCCAATTAACTCAAATGTTGTCAATTAACCTATTAAAGCTTTCAAAGCCATGACATCATCATCTGGGCTTTCCCAAGTAGTTTAAAGGCATCTTAGTGTACGTAAACTTCTGCCTTCAGTAAATGTAAAAGATTATCTTTAAAAAATTGTCTGTCTCATTATTCTCTCATTTAGCAAATAGAGATAATTTTGGTAATCCTAACTGACCTAAAACGGGAAAAGTTTAGTCTGATTTAATGTCAGACAGTGAGAAAAAAAAAAAAAAACTTTTTATACAGTGTATGTAAACGTCTGGTTTCAGCTGTAATTATGCAGAGCTTTCTCAGTAACACAACCCAGGTGGTGGGCTGTCGCCACAGTTTTCAAAAATAAGTGTTATTTAAATGAAAATACCTTCAGTAAATTTTGGGGGGACTAAGTGCAAAAACATAAGCAGCCATGAGAGCATGGTGAGCTGCAGCAGTAAGAGTGTGGTGACAGCACGAGACTCCCCAGGCTGCCTTTATGCAGTTTAGACAATTTAGCTTTAATGGGGCTACAGAGAGGCACAACATTTCTGAAATATTCAACCATTTTCCTGACGAAAACACTGATGCTTTATGTTGAATGTAGTCAGACAAATTTGCTAAATTTGGATCCAGAATGAAAGAGTTTGAGTAAAAAAAGTAGCTAACATACAACTAACAAGATTTTGCTTAAATTGGTAGAACTAGTAGTGGGTCTAAACCTTTATCTAAAGATCTACATCTATGATTACAGACAATAATTGGAATTTTCTGTAAATGTATATGTAATTTAAAATAGCAGAAAGTACAATTTAAACAATATAGTAAGTAAAAATAGAGGAATAAATGTAATTTTGTATAATTGGCATAGTACTTCAAATAAGTAATGGGTTGCTAATGTAAAGATAATGTTTGTTATTTTAGAGTCTTTTCCGTACAACAAAAACCAACATAATCAGAATCAGAATCAGATTTATTGCCAGGTATAGTTCACACAATATGAGGAATTTGTTCTGGTGGGTTAGTGCAACAATACAACAATAAATAGAGTACACAATAAATTAGACGCAATAAACTCTGAGAATAAATCCTCAGGAGTTGTGGCCCTGATGTTCATGAGCTCTTCTCTGGTGTAGGAGCTCCTCAAACACTGACTAAAAACTAAGTTCACTCTGAAAACAAGATAAAACAGTGCGTACCAACACACTGTGACAGCCATCCTCGGTGCCATCTTGAGCAATCAAACAGAAAACCACTGTAAAATTTTAGTTATTTTCCATAAAATCAGGATTTATTTTTACTGTGTAATGGTGTGAGACACATAACCTGTGTATAAACCAGGGTTCCTGCTTTGACTTTGATCAGCTCCATTTGCTGCATGTCATTGCTTTCACTTTCTCCTCACATTTTCTCCTCTCCTCTCCTCTTCACTGCCAGCTACAGACTTTAACCAAAACTTAATACAAGCACAGGGCATCCGGTTGACGCAGGGGGTTTCAAAACACTGAACATGTCACAACAAGCTCCGCGGTTAAAACCCACAGAGGAACATCAGTCGCACGTCATTTCTGTCTCCGTTCACTTCCTCAATTCCCAGAAACAGAGCGGAGGACATGACTTCACTCGTGCATCCTCAGTTGTTAAGGTCCATTTCAGTTTCAATGAGGGGTGGGGGGGGAGATAGTGAATGAAGAAGAAAAAAAATCCCTGAATGCTCACACAGAAGCGTTTTTATCACCATGACAGTGATAGTTATGGTGAAGAATCACACTGACAGAGGAGCTGCCAGTCTCTGGGTCAGTTACCATAGTTTCACTGATGGAATCCAATACTCTGCTGCACACACACAGTGAAACACAAGCGTGCGCACACCGTGTCCGCTTGATCTTCTAATACACTGCTGCCTCCCCCCCTCCCCTCCACCTCGGCTCCATCTCCAAGGTTACTGTTGATATTGGGTCAGGAAGCAGAGACGTCTGTTCCGGCTCCTTATCCTGGACTCAGACTTACAGAGTGTGTTTTCCCCAGTTGGAGACAAAAGTACTGATGATTGTTGCTCTCTCATTGTGTATTACTTTTTTTTCCCAGCATATCATTCTCAGATTTTTTGTTCTGCTGTTGTCTTGGGGGAATGTGATGCAACTTATTTACAGAGTGATAGTAGGAAGCTGAGAGGAAGCAACAGGTCCTGGCTGGGGATGAATCAGAGACATTGCAATTATATTTCTGGTGCTTCAAAGCTCATTGTTTCCTTCTTTTAACATCACAGTGAAATCAAGTAAAGATCCTGGAGGACTCATTTTTTCTTTGTTTTGATGTGATGTTCTCATTTACACGACCAAAATCACACTGATGTTGTTACGTTGTCCAAATCTTGACCAGATAATATTTCAAACTTCATCGATAGTGCTGATTTTATTACTGCAGCATCGTCACAGAGCTGCCAAAAAAGCATCTGTCGATATACAGGCGGTGCACTGGGAGCATCTGACCAGCAGAGGAGGCAAGTGTACCTGCTGTGTGTTCCAGCATGCAGACGAGAGCCGCACTCAGACATGGCTTACCAGAGAAGGGCCAAGTGGTTCCTTGGAAAAGTTACCAATGTAGATAAGAATGAGGCAGCTGTAAAAAAAAAAAAAATCACTTTGTAGCATGCAAACCGGATAGCATACAAAAAGTCCAAAGAAGCGGGAGGACAACCTGGCAGGCTGACTCAGTGTGCTGTCCTTGAATGACTCCGTCTGTTTTTCCTCTTTTTGGCTCACTGGAGGATTTATGGAGCAAATCAGGGAATGCAATCTCAGGCTCAGCTGCAGAGGTAACACAAAACATGCACACACATAAACACTGTGCTGCACTTGTTCAGGGCGTGCAAACTACTGCTACCACACAAATGGTACCACATTCTAAGGCAGGGGTGTCCAATCCTGGTCCTCGAGGGCCACAGTCCTGCATGTTTGAGATGTTTCCCTCTTCCAACACACCTGATTGAAATGATCAGCTCATCATCAAGCTCTGCAGAAGCCCGATAACGATCCTGATCATTTGAATCAGGTGTGTTGGAAGAGGGAAACATCTAAAACAGGGGTGTCGACATCCGGTCTTCGAGGGCCGCAATCCTGCATGTTTTAGATGTTTCCCTCTTCCAACACACCTGATTCAAATGATCAGGATCGTTGTGAGACTTCTGCAGAGCTTGATGATGAGCTGATCATTTGAATCAGGTGTGTTGGAAGAGAGAAACATCTAAAA